TCCGTGCTAATTCAAACTTTTTTAGTATCCACTATCCACATATATCAATTTACATTAATTATGTACAGACGTTAAAAATTTACTTTTTCCCACTCACATCTGCAACTCTACAACCTCGACATTTTGGTCAATCCAAGCGAGAGATTAATGAAATCCCAATTTCTTCAATTTGGAGGTTGCCCTGATGAGGGCTCCTGGTTTCTTTCCAGGTGGGTTCCTTTCCTTTTCCGCTTCGATCATCTTCTATCACGGTTATATTCGTTCTGACTTCCGACTATTGTTTATTCAAAAAATCTAGGTACTTTTCTCTTGCTTCTTGAATTTCTTTCACAATTAGGTGAGCTATAAGCCTGGACTGCTTTAACACAATCTCCTTTTCAACTGTTTGTAATGGTTCATGACTTATTTGAGAAAGGAATTGAAGAAAAGGGTTTTTAAGCGAGGAGAACAACTATTGGTGGTTTGTGCCAGTGGCAACTTTACGAGTGTAAAGATCAATGCAGCAATTCGGTCAGGGGATCGACGAGCAGCAAGGGGCAATTGAGGTTTGTGCGGCAGCCGAGCCTCCTCCTGTGCTGACCATTGTGATCTCGAAGTCGGAGGAAACGAATGCGAAGGGCGACGGGTCGAAGGGAACTTCTCCGGAAAGGCAGGATAAGGCCAGTGTGATCGCCTCAGTCAAGAAGGGGTTTTTGTGCAGGAGTGACAGCGAGTGTGAGGAGTGCAGGTAAAATTTTTTGTTTTAGTTGATTAAAATGGAATCTAGAGTTTCTTTATCATCGAAGTTGCTCGGTTGACTTTTGCTGTATTTGGATGCGGAACAAATGTTATTTGCCAGTTGGATTTTGGCGATTTGGATCAAGCTGTCCCTTTTTCTGGCTGATACGCATAGTTTCCTCTTGAAATTTTCCTCTCAGCTTTCTTACGAACTTTGGGGGACAGTGTTGATAATTAAAATGCATATTGCTTATGTTTCTTATCAATTTCGTGAGACAAGACACGAGGAATTATTGCTCATGTTTTCTGAGTAATGTTAGCGATTTTAAAGGGTTCAAAGCCTGATCTTTCATGGATTTCTGAAGTCTTTTTTAGCTTGAAATGGCGATCAGGAAGTTTCTTTTTTATATTATTATACTTTTCAACTTTGATTATTAAAGAGCACGCTTTCCTGCATCACTCCATGTGTATGAATGACTAACCGGAAGCATCTTTCTGGTTCTTGAAGAAATGTGTATTCCATATAATCTTTTTTTTTTGGCCTTTTTGGAGTTAAAATTTTTAACAGTATGGATTGACACAAGCATGTGTAAATACTAATTCTTGACTAAAAGGTGCCTATGCAATTGAATTCAAAATCATTTGTGGCGTTTATTAGTTGTTTAGTACAGAAACCGAAGAAACTTTGTTTCTATTGTCATATGTGATTTCTTCTATAACATATAGCTACATTTGTTACTTTAGGGTACATGTTATATGGTTTATCTTGTTAAGAAAGAACGATATGAACCTAAAATTTTATGTTTCAAAATTGAAAACACATGATCTCAGGCTTTTAAAAGGATCTTCTCCGGGTCATCAGTAAATGTTAAAAGAATTTCAATGCAAATTAAGAAACAAAAAAGCTTTCTATTATTGCAAATGCTTTTTATGTTATAGTACATTCTGAACTCAGTGTCTCATGGATCTAACCTGTTTAGGTCGAAAGTGCCTGTTTTAACTATAGTGCCAACTCTCTCTTTCTTTAAAAAATTTTATGAATTGTTCAGTCTGTAAGAAGAATGTCTATCTATTGATAGAAAAAAGACATGACATTAAGGCTAATGGCATCTGTAGGGATATGCTAATGATCTCTGCACCTCACTACTTACCAATCTCATATGTTCACAAGTCAGATTAATAAAATGACTATTATTAGGATATTTTGATTTCACTTAATATCGTATGCTTTTTTATGTTTTATATTATTCACTCATTAGTATATAAAAAATTTATCATTTTATGTTTACACAATCTTTTGATCTTGAGGCTTACGCCTCAAAATGCCTTGAGGCTTACGCCTCGCCTCACTAATAAAAAACGCCTCAATACCCGAATACGCAATTTTAAACATTGGTATAAACTCTTGTATTTTACATCTTTAATGGATAAAACACCATGCAAGGCTTTGTTATGCCATCTACATATTCATTAAGAACAAGCTTAGCTTGGCATAATTGAGGCTATATTTATCTTATTATCCATTGTAAATAAGGAATGACACAAATGAAAAAAAATTACATAAAGCTAACTATTTACTCCTACGACATAACCACAATATCACCCCGAAATGAGATAAACATAAAGGATATTGATGCAGGACATCTTTGGGTCTTGGATTTTTTAATTCAAATTTAGTTCTCGATGCACAAAATCAGACATACCCGACCAAATTCATAGTCCAAGCAATTCTAATTTATGGAAAATATCATCTATTTTGATGAAAATTCAGAAAACATAAAATTCGCTCCAATTATAATTCTATTATGGCTCAAATAGAAAATTAGTAAAGAAATTCAAGAGCAATGAAAATTGCATGACAATAAAAAATCAATCTGCAATAAAATATCCAGATTGTATAATCTTTGAATAAATCCAAGTATACAGGTAGGAAGGAAATTAAAATATAGAAAAAAGGGCGAATAGTTGTCTAAATTAAATGTTTGTGAATTCCTAAGTTTTCATGTTTGTTTTATTTTAAATATCCCATAATATGTTTGCCTTTGGAACTACCAGATCCTAAGATATCCTGCATCTTAACCTCTAGACAATGTGTATCACTTTTCATTGTAAATTGTTGACTTCCTCAAATGACATCAAACTTCATGCTCTTTAATCACCAATTTCGACTTCATAATTGCTAACATTTTTTGTTTATAATGATATAAATTCAAAAAGAGTTTGTCAACAACTAGCGGAAGAACCTCTAATCGATTTGGGATGTGGATGCCGAGGTGAGCTAGCGAAAGCACACAGATCATGCATAGAAATTTGGTTTCGTACTAGAGGTTCAAATAAATGCGAGATATGCCAGTAAGTTGTTTACTCTTGATACGAAGCTCTTCTAACTTTTCTACTGCTCTCATATTGGAAACCTTCATATACAGGCAAGTGGCTGTAAATGTTCCTTTGTTGGATTCACAACCAACTGTAAGTATAGTCAAAAAAATTTTGCGCTGTTTGTGTCCTTTATAAGAACGAATCAAATGTGCATATTGATAGATGCCACTTGAAATGCATCATATTTAATCTGTGTTTTTTGTTATTAAATCTAGTTGTTCAATTGCTGCGTTACTTATGTAGATTGATTCATTACTTGTAGGCATTTTAATTAGCAATATACAAAACAGGTATGAAGTAGTGTTTAATAAGTATTTGTTTTACTACTCTATTAGTACAGTCTAAAATAGGATCAACATGTCAATAAGACTCAAAGGCTTGTGTATTAAATGATTTTCATATTAAGTTCTATTTAATAGGTGATCTATATATTCAAGTTTAAATCAGTATAATTTTTTGTTTATCAAATTATATTCCAAAATGGGTTACAATAATGAAAATATTGCTTCGAATGAGCATGGAAGATGTTGTTGCATCTCATCTTTGAAGTTTGAATAATGAGGTTGACGGCGTTGGCAGTAAATGAAGTATGCAATAATGCAATGCAAATTACAAAGTTATATTGATCAAATGCCAGGGAGGATGACTGAGAATATCTAAAATTATTTAATCATAATTTTTATTTTCCTAAAATAAAATCTAATTTGCAAAGAAGTATCAATAGCTCCCTCCCCAAAAAAACATATTTTTTGAACTCGAAGACCTTATAATTTTACCATAATTTTGATATGACCAAAATCCTAAATATTTTACACACCACTAGAATATATATTTGAAAAAGTTAGATATGCTTTTAGTGGATAAATTAGTCCATCATGTGACAAAATCAATACGTACGTTTGTTAAACGCCAAACAATGTGAAGCATATGATACTATTCTAATTTGAATCTTAATACTGGAATCATTGAGTCTCCTAGCAGATGGCTGACTTTACCTATCATAAATGAAGATTTATTCTAGTATTTCCTATTTTTATTGAAGCAGACAAAATATTGGGTATGGAGAGTCGACTCAGCATATGGAGGTTCTAATATTGGAAGACGAGGACGTGAAAGGGTATATATGTTTATGTGGCTGAGTCGTAATGGATTATTGTTAGAATATTACTCTCATCTGCCATTATTTTTAATGCAACAACTTTTCCACTGCCAATATCCTAACTGCCACTGCAATTTATCCAGGGCATTTTAATCTGCTTTTGATAGCAGTTGGTGTTGTTTCAGGGATGTCTTAGTCCTCTCTGGGTTGCATTTGCTATCCTGATTGGGGGACTTCTACTTGATGTGCTCGTATCTGTTTCGCTTGGTGTTTCTGCACTTCCTGTGAACATTATAATTGGTATGCTCTCTCTATCCTTTCAGAGTAACGTTACATTTGGCATGTGCTTCTCAAAGAAAGCTATGTATTGAATGAGGGGAATTTGGAATCTACTCTCTGATCTGCTGATTAATAAGATACAGTTGTCAACCAACTCATCAATTTGCCACTAGAAAGCCATCTTTTAGTGTAGCTAATGATCTGACCTGTTGAGTTTCCAACAATTGAACAATCTATCTTATCTTAGGTATTTCTTTTAATGATTATCATAGAAACCTTTGGTGGCATGATCCTTGGACAAAATTATAATTTTCAAGCAATATTTTCGTCTGGAACAAAAAAAAAAATATTTGTTTTCTTTGAATTTTTTCCCGGAATCTTAAATGTTTGCTAAATGGAATGGCGCATAAGTAAGCACCTTCAATTATAGATTTTGGCTTCTTGAACTGTTGTGGAATTACAATCTAAAGAATCTGACATCCAGAGCAACGTAAAATATATTCTGAACCTATTTATAGGATGACATTACCCATTATATAGAGAAAAGATTGAACTTTTCTATTAATATCTTCTTTAATGGTCATTACAATATGAGTATCGAAGTAGTTGCATTAGAATATGAAATACTGAATTACTTTCACTAAATGAGAAATTGAAATGCTTTCATGTAAGGGTTTGTTTGGTTGAATGTTCTTAAAATATATGCATTTTAAAAATACAAATTATTGGAGTGCATGCATTATATATGAATTATTTGTTTGGATGCAAATCAAATGTATTGAAATGTGGTGAATGGCGGTGGTAGTTGGTGGGGGTGGCAGGTGAACGACAACGGATGCCAGAGAAGGAAAGGGGGTTGTTAGCCGCAACAACGGTGGGTGGTGCTAGGCAAGAATCGTGAGCAGTTACAATATGAGATTTGGACAATTTTCAAATGCAGGGAAAAAGGGTTTTGGCTATTTTAAATCCCTCAAAATTTTCTTTGCATTTTGTTTGCTTCAAATCAAACACCAAAAAGTTGGAATTTAGGTAAAAGAAATGCATTACACTTCAAATGGTTTTGACCAAACATCCAGAGAAGGGAAGGGGGGTTGTTAGCAGCAGCAGCGGTGGGTGATGTTAGACAAGAATCGTGAGCAGTTGCAATGTGATATTTGTACAATTTTCAAATGCAGGGAAAAAAGGGTTTTGGCTATTTTAAATTCCTCAATTTTTTTTTTGCATTTTGTTTGCTTCAAATCAAACACCGAAAAGTTGGAATGCAGGTAAAAGAAATGCAGTACACTTCAAATGGTTTTGACCAAACATCCCCAAAACAATTTAGGACTATTTGGAAATTACATGTTCATTTTTTTGGGTCAATACTTTAAGAATAATGAATCTTTAAGACCGTTTTGTTGGGCTTCATTAGTGTTAATGGACCCAATTTGTCTTCTTTGATTTAGATAATGAATCCATATCCATTGGTTGAAGAATTATAAAATTTTGGACCTTTTCATTTGTTTTAAATGGTCAATGTTTAATGACCGATAAATTTCCTTAATGTTCCAAAGCAATCCCACTTCATTCACCCGAAACAACAAGTCATGAGGTCTTCTGATGCAGGTGCAGGATTACAAATAAGAACCGGCGGTACACATGCTGGTTATAACAGACTTTATGCTTCCAAAACAAGATCGAATTGGAAAATTTCTAGGAACAATCAACGCCAATAGCTTCTAGGATTGGATTCCTCCAATTGTTGGGAGTTGATGTTTATATGGGTTTCAATTTTGTTGAGACAAATCAATTGTGATATTTCTCATATTCGATCTAACTATTTATGTTTGTTGAGAAGAACAGAGTGCATCTGATGTAGAACGAGAGAGGTAGTGGCAAGAACGATCTCCAAGCGCCCTCATCAGCATCTATTAGTATTTGGTCCAGTTTTAGGTTGTAATTGCTTTGCAAGACACCATACCGGTGTTTATGCTTCTCCGTTAGAAAACTCTTTATCTGAACCAATGTTTCTTAAAACTACCTTTTACAAAAGTACCGAATAACCAAACGAAGCCTTAATATATTGTGTAAGTTACCTCTTGAAACTTGTATAAATAAGGTGTAAATTTGCCAAAGATACCGTGAGCTAGAAGAATCTAAAAGATAGTTGTGTTTTTTCAAAACTTGGAAGACCAAACTGCAACTTTCCTGTTGAAGTTATGGATTCCACCAAAAGCTTAGTGGATCCATATAACACATGTAAGAATACCTTCATTTATATTATTAGCAGTACCGGTGGTTTTATTACAGCACTGAATGATATTGTCCGAGATCTATGATTTGAATTGAACATGTTTTTCTATTTTTTTTCTTCATGAAAAACGGTCTAAAATGAACCGACTTTGCAGGTGTTCTTATTGTGTTAGGATTAGGGACTGCGGTTCGCCTGGCTTTGGAATGTTGTCACGAGTGGGGCTCAAGGAGACATGCTCGGGGGACAGAGACTGATATAACTCCTGGGTACAATACTGCTGTGTAATTTTGGGATTATATATAGATATTCCTTACAGTGGAAAACACTTTTTTTTTTTTTTTTTTGTAATTTCAGCTGATAGAAAAATCTATAGCACAAATGTCTTGGTAGATTACTTATTGGGAAAAGTTCAAGAGCATATTATTCTTGTACTAGTTAAACTTGTTATTGATCAACTTGTTTTCATCTTTCAATTAAGATTGTGCCACTGGCTTTCTTATTCTTTTAATAAAATAGTAGTTTCTTAAGGTAGAAGAATTGCTTGTCTCCAGCTTCTTACTTTTTCATGCTACGTTGGCATCTATTTGTTCTTCTGTCATACACTAGTAGAATCTTGAATACTAAACGATCCATCAGCTGCACCATTGGTGTAAGTTTCCCACGAAAGCCCTGTATTGTTAATGCTGAAAGAACGTTTAGAGGTAAGATATTTACTAGTCCTGCAATGCTCAAATAGTTATCTATGAAAGTGCTTTACTTTTACTAGAAACTTGGTTCTTTTAAGTTTTTGGATATAATTCTATGTTCTTCAAATGGGTGAGCACTCATAGGTGAGGTGGCCATTGCTTAATAGGAGTCGAATCCTGTAGTTAGTGGGCTTCTACACTTCCATGTTTGTAATTGCAACTTGCAGTTAATTATGATTCTTACCTGAGTCAAGAATAACGCATCAATTATGCTTATTGTAGCCTTGCAAACTGCGTGGCTCACACCACCATGAATGTACAAATGGCTGATAGATTATAAAAATGTGTTATTTACTGAAAAAATAAATTTATAAGTGTTATAATTTTCAATAAATAGACCTTCTGTAAGAAAAAGAAAAAAAAGAGACAAAAAGCTGTAATAGAAACTAATTGAAGTAACAAAAAGGTGATATTAGTGGTATAATATCTTGCTGTTCATATATTAAGTGGTGTAAAGAAACACAGCAACTAGAACCTCTTCTTGATGCTGTACAAACCGTTTCTTTATTCTTAAAGCAAAAATGAAGAACAGAACAACAGGGAAGAATTACTTGGCAAAAACAATTGATGCCCAGTTCCAGAAGCTTTATTCAACTATAGTAAAAGACAAATACATGGAGAGCAAAAAGAGAAATACTGAGAAAACCCCTTTCTATGGCCTAGCCAGAATTTTGCTGTGAACTGAACCCACAAAACTACGAATTTTTATTAGGTCCGGACACTTGACGTAGTTATACATCCGGATGCAAATAAAATGTCGCCACGTGCTCTTATTCTTTACCGCGCGGCCTGACAACCCGAATCGGACCGGAATCCAATATTGCTATGTATTAGCTGATTTGTACAGACCAGGGTATTGCTATGTTTTGCTCGGTATTGCTCGGTAACGAGAAATACTACTATGTCAAGACTAATACCTAGCAATACCCCGGTTTTGCTAGGTATTGCTAGGTATTGTTCGGTATTGGTCTTAACAGAGCGGTATTTCTTATTATTGCCAAGCAATACATAGCAATACCGAGCAATACCTAGCAATACACGAACATAGCAATACCGGGTTTCCGTTCCGGGTTGGGTCGTCGAGCTGCGCGATAAAGAGTAAGAGCACGTGGCGACATTTTATTGGCGTCCGGATGTAGAGCTACGTCAGGTGTCGGGACAGCTGGTCTCGTTGCCTTAATAGAAAAAGAACTAAAAACAGTAAAGTAAAATTGTACCACAACAAACAATCTACACTTTGATCTGATTTTACATTTGATTGAGGATCAACAATGTGTTGAACCACGCAACATCCGACTCCATTCAAACAAAATTTTAACTTCGAAATTGATAAATATTTGGTCATGGCATCAGCTGGTGTGGGCTATGAAAATTCACGTCGCGGCCTCTCTGTAGACCCCTTTCTTCTTTTTTGGGTCGTCGAAGAGTGTTTTAACGAGTAAGTTCTGAGGCAAGTTTTAAGATGACAGATTGGGTTTTAAATAAGACGCTACCCAGAGATTTCAACCCAACCCGACAGAAGGATTCTTGTCGGCGGTCATTAGTTGCGTCGTCAAAGGGAATCTTGTAGACCTGAGGTGAATATTTGTCCAAGGGATAAATTTGAATCAACCTTAGCTTCATATTAATTCATTACTCAATGATTTTAAGCTTGTATGGAGTATGCGGGATATGACCATGATCATAATTTAATGGTACCATTTGGCGGCAAAATCACCTGGTTAGAGGGTTTCAGTCATAATCGTTTACATGCGGTTCCATTTAGCAGCAAAACCATCGGTGTTGTGCCATTTGGCAGCAAAATCACCGGTAAGAGGACACGTGCCACGTTCTACTGGCAAGAGACTGATTGACAATGAATTATAGTGATATTCTCGACTAGACATTAGTTCTTTATGAGCTAAAGTAGTTTTTAATTTATCCACCCCCATAAATTGTTGCGGAGGGTGGATGAATATTTTATTTTAAGTGTTTGATGATTCATTTTAATTTTAAATATTTTAAATTTTGGTATTTTTGGAATTTTAAATTTTTATGGACGTTTGGGAAGTTTTTTAAATATTTGTGATCCTCGCTGATTGAGATTTTCTGCCAACATGACCACCATCAGGATTTTCATGGGCAATTTTATTTTTGTTGATTGAACATTATCGACTCTGCCTACTTGCTGGCAGAGGATCGGGTTCGAATCTAAATTCATTTGTGAACCCGCGCAATATCCTCAGATGCCATGTGTGTACCTATGACACTCGTCGGGGCCCATGCAAATATAAGCTTTTGCACGCATCTTGTTAGGTATATTTATACGACAATTATATGTATGCATTGGATGTGTATAATGTATATGCATGTGTATATATACATCAGCACGAATACTTGCATAAAGTGTTTTGCATATTGTAATGCATATGCATGCCATATTTTTGCATGTAAATATAATATTGAAGGATGTACTTGTGTGAAACCCTCCGCTTATTGCAAATGCATGCATGATGGTATTTTTGCATTTGATGTTAATCGACCGTGCATATATAACAATTTGTATGTAAATACCATGTTAAATGAAATGCTTGAATGAAACTCTCTGCATCCTACAGATGCATGCAACAGATCATTTTAAATTGTAATTGTAATGTCAACTGACATGTTTGAATGAAATTCTCTACATCCTATAAATACATGTAGGAGGTCATGTGATTAATGAAAAAGAATTTGCTTCACTTGTTCTTCATGTCTGGCTAAATTCTCTAATTTTGGACTGATGGTATAAATGGAATGCGGAGTACTAATGAATTCTCTTCATTGATTATTTTATGATGTTTTCAATATACTAGGTCTTCATTTAATGCACGTAGTGGCAAAATGTGTATTTAATATAAGGTGTAATATGAAGCTTAAGAATAGAAAATCAGACACAACTAGGTATGTTGGATTGGTATGATGCAAGCATAAACATAGTGCTTGTTATGTATAAAATTTATAGAGTTGAATTGTCATGAGGGGGTTTTAATAGTACAATCTTTAATTACTCTTCTAAAATTCTCATAGGGTAACATATTATGGGAGTTTATAGTGGTATTGAGGGTGGAAGGTTTAATTTGTCCTTTGACTCCTCATGCTTTACTGAGTCGTTGGTGATGCATATGCTCTCAATAACATTAATATAAAAAAGAATCATTAGGAAATATCTTATATTTACATTCCATCAATTCAAAATAATTTATCCAAATAGTATTTCATTTAATTATTTTTTATTTTAATTAAGTGATTGAATCTACTCAAAAACTTATTTTTATTGAGTAAAATAATTATTGTACTTGACGTAGAAAGTTCTAGTATTTACAAGTAAATTTTCTTTCTTGTGGGATCGATACTCCACTCTATTACTATATTACTTGATTCGACATGTATATTTGCGTATATTAAATATGAGTTTTATAATTTTTATATGAAAGAAAACCTAAGTATTGTTTAAAAATTGATATATTTCTAACTTATTTTCACAATTCCTTATGTTACTCCACTACCCCCATCACGGTGCTTAGTGTCAAGAATTGGGGTGGCACATGTATGTTGGTTCTTGATGGATGAGATTTTTTATATGCCGCCTAAGCGTTACTTACAGCAGAATACAAGGAGAAATCAAGCAATCATTCTTTATACATGCCATCATAAATTTATTTATATTCGATGTGATAACAAAATACTGAACATTATTTATAATTGACCTTCCTTATACAACAAATTGTAAATCACTCTTCTGTGTGAAGAACATTCCTTCGATTAATTCAGGAGGAATCAATAATTTATCCACTAATATAACCCCGTTAGATGCATCCTAAAATTCAACTTTCTGATCCCATTATTCTGTAGTCCTACAAGTGTCGGCATAGTCCTTATTGTTGGCCACCATTACGTCCTCTATGCCAGTTGATCTTGAGCAATAATTTTGAATGACATTACAAATATCTTCATTAACTGTAGTTCTTCACATTCAAATATGGTTAAAAATAATCTGCATCATCAGAACACTGCTCGCTGACCAACTACTTATAATCTCATTATCATAATTAACATAGGGGATTGATTGTGTTGAAGGGCTAGGATATTCATGCCTCTGTTGGTTTTCTGTATCATTGCATTCACACCATTCTTCTATATTTATTAATCAATGCAAAAGTAATGTATATGACAATGAATAATCTTACTGCTCTTTTGGTTGGAGCCTTGAAGTACTATCAAGCACTTCAACCCTTTCACCTTGGCTCGAAGAATCATATATTTGAGAAATTCACAGCTCCGTATTACCTCCCATCAAATCTCTCTCTTCAATTTCAATATATATGATGAGAAATTCTACAGCAGCTTGGTATAATAGCACTTCACAGTCCTCATTATCTTCAACATGTAAAGTGACAAACTCATTGTCCATAGGCACACGACAAACTGCGTTCACAAAAAAACATAGATGGATCGTACTTAAATGCTTTGAGAAACCTTAACTTAAGCTGCTCTAAGTTGATGTTTCTTGGCAGTGTAGGGGACGATTCCTACCCCCATAATACGTTGGCGAAAATTCGCATCTAATTGTAATTCACCTACATACATTAGCATGAAGGTTGCTCCTCGGCCACTCATTATTGATCTCCTATGTTTCACTAAGAAAAATCAAGTAATCACATAGTTTATATACATAATTATTTGTTAACACTCTTTTATTTCTATTAGTTATACATAACTTATAACTATAATACTTACAATTACTATGAAAATATCCTTGAATTTAATAAATAATTTCAAAATACACATCACTTCGCTATAGAAAATTATATTTAATTTTAATGTTTTTCTAAACACACAAAATTTTAAGAAATAATTTTACAAATTCTCATTCATTTGTTACAGTGAATTTATTTTTCAAAAAAATTGGTTTCACAAAATTTTTACAATAAAAAGTATATCATTATAATTAAAAAAAATCTAATTGAACTACTAACATAATTATGGAAACTAAAATTCATCTAACATAAATGACATAGCTTGCAAATTTGATTCGAACATCACCTTTACGTAAATATAACATATAATTAAAAAAAAATTCTCACAAATATTAGATGAAACCTTTTTTTGTTCAACTAGATCACAAAAATTTAGCACAACCCATCCTGCAACCACAATAACTCCATTTCTCTCTAAAATCTTAACTCCTCCAAGAAAATCAACTAATTTACAACAAATAGCAACCAATAAGTAAAAATTGCTCATTAAGTGACTTACTTATGCCATGTCATCATGCCACGTCAAGTGTTGATCACATTACTCAGGTCAAAATCGCTCGATAAACGGACGAATTTGCCTACTTTTAAATTATATTAATAAATTGCTTAAATACTTAATATAATATTTAATTATGCTTATTTCAAAAAAAAAAAAAAATCGTTAGGAAAAAATTGTAAACTAGTCTTGATTAGAACATATATTAAACATTTAAGCATGACTTTAAGTTATTGATATTGTAAAAAATAGTTAAAATTTATCTTTTTACTATTATAGTTCTTAAAGATTCAAATTTATTAATGGATGATAAAAGATGTAAAAAAACAAAAGAAGATAGACTATCTTTCTAAAAAAGAATAAGAGTTCAAATAAATATAAGTTATACTTGAGTTAAATGAAATCTGTGGGCTACCAAAATTCTCGTTCTTCTGCCCTCTCCGTACCAGCTTTTTTCTTGTTTTTTATGACGACAAAGTATTAACAGACTTAGATTCCGGGTGAATTTTCATAAGGCAGATTGAGTTTTAGATAAGACACTACCTAGAGATTTTATCCCTATTTTATGAGGACTTTATGATCTGAGTTTGGGTTTCCTATAGGTGTAAGCCCCTATAGTTAATTACCCCTACTGATAATGAGAGAGAACTTTCGATTAAGGCTAGTCATTAAAGAGGTCGCATAGGTCACAAATCCAGTGTATAACAATAATTTTAGGGTTTGAATTTGTGATATGAATTTTGGAGTCTGAGACTTTAAAGTTTATCACCATAAACTTAAAACTGGTGATGGAGAATGAAGACGAGCTCAATCAAGATCCCATGGTTCCATCGTCTCGGGCTGTCATGATCCCTAGTCTACTTACTCAAAGGAGGTAGTCGGCCCAACCTGACAGAAACATCTTATCGGCAGCCATAGCTTGCTTCGTCCAAGAATATCTTGTAGACCGAGGGTGGTGTTTTTTTAAGGGGATATATTTGAATCCACCTTAGCTGACAAAGAGGTTTTATGCCTATTGAATATACTCTATGATTCATTACTAAAGAGTTTAATGCCATTAGGGAGCATATGAGCCTTGACAGTGACCATAATATAATGGTATCATTTTGCTGCAAAACTATTTGATTCAAGGGCACATTTTACGTCCATACTAATAAGAGACTATTTGAGGATGAATCTTAGTGATACACCCGACAGGACATTCGCTCTTTGAGGTTAATTTCAAATATATCACTCCCGAAAAATGGTTGTGGGAGGTGGATGCATTTTTAGTTTCATGTTTTTAATTAATAGATTTTAAGAATTCTTGACTTTTATTGGATTCTCCTCCGATTGATATTTACATTCAACACGGCTATAAATCGGGATGATGTTAAAGTCATTGTATTATTGTAGAATTTGAGAGACATTTTGTAATTCAAGTCATATCAATTCCAATCCTTTCGAGGAGGAGGATGAGACTTAAGTATTTGACTCGTGCAACATTTTCGGACCGTTGGATTTAGGAATCATATGTCACGATTGGAGCACATACGAGCTATGTTTTAATATATAGATTGAAGTTATTATAGAGATATAGCCTTTTGTCCGCTTGTACGTGTGTTGCGGATCCGATGTCATATTTAGGGGTGCTTTAGACTTCATTTTTCTCATACCGACGGTGTAATTTAAAGTGCTTTGTTTTTTATATGTTGTCATTTTCTTTGCTATTTAGCTTGCTAGAACATGCTTCTGTTAACATATATGCTATATGGCATATTAGGAGCCTCCTACTCGTCATTTGCAAGTAAGATGATATTTGATGTGACAGTATGGCTCCACACGTTTACTAGTTCAGTTTACCAAAGGCCCGCAATTTTCATTGTAAATTTTCCATCGTGTCTTGCACTTCTTGCAGGAAATATTTCGCACCATGTAGGTATTGTTTAATACTGTTTTGTGATATGGTGCTAGATATTTGAGATTCATTAGCCATTGTACATAGAACTACGTTCGACGAGAATTTGCTAGCATTGCTTGTAGGCGGATCGTGGCGCTACGCTATGGGTCACTCATTGCTTATTGAAGGCTAGTCATTGTATCATACAAGCTTTGTTGAATTTGCTCGTAGGTCGTCAGTGAACATTCATAAATTACCAACCTAACTCGTAAATGGGCTGGTGTATGCATGATGAATCTCCTGCTGTTCGCCCAGCCAAAAATATAATCAATGGTCGAGGGCTTCGGAACGTTGTCGAGTCCCGAAATTGGCCTTTGAGTCTTTCATTACGCACACGGCCCGTTAATTTTAATTTAAAACACACTTTTTTTTCTCATTGAAAATCCGATAGCCTTCCGACACCCCCTCCCCACGAGGGGGGGTTGAGAAGGGCACTTGTCCTTTCCAGTCCGCCTAGCCGGAAAGATAATTGACGGGCCGACGACTTCAAGACATTGTTTGGTCTTGGAATTGGGCTTCAAGTCTTCAATCTACTCGGCTGGATTAGATTAACAGCCAAGGACTTCGAGGGATCATAGTAACCTCGTGACTTACTTCAAATCTTTTCCTATTGTGGTACCTATTTGAAAATCCTCTCCTATTTCTTTCTTTTTTTATAATAATAATAATAATAATAATAGAGAGGGAGAGAGAGACGGAGGCGGGCGTCGGGTGCAAGTGTCAGCGAAGAGCGGGAGTTGGTTGGAGGCAGTGGTGGCAAACCGGCGAGTTGGACTGGGTCGGTTTTGGGCTCGGAGAAGGGAACACAGCCGCCGGAGGCAAGCAGATGTAGGTCCGACGCAGACCGGGTCTCTGCGTGCGGCTTCGACTGCTGGTTCAGAGTTGAAATCGGAGGAGCTCGGCTGGCGGGTGTAGGTGAGGGAGGCGGGTGTCAGGCAACTGAGTCGGTGAAGAGGCGGCTGGTTAGGGCTTCGAGCATCGACGGGAGGAAGAAGATGGACGTCAGAGAGGTAAGTCACCGAACTTCTTGCTTGCGATTTCCTGCGGTTCTGAGAGCGTGAGAGTGCGTAGGGAGGGTTTAGTTGTTTTTTGCCATGAGGAGCGAATGAGGGATCGTGGGTACCGTGCTTGAGTGAGGCTTGCCGGAGGTTAGGGTCAACAAAATGATTTTATTTTTGAATTGATTAAAATATGAATAATTTTTATAGAGTTTTGAGTTTCTAATATATTTACCAGTCCATCCATTCCACTTTGAGATTAATGCATTGTACTGGGCTGTATGCAGGATCGATTATAAGATGCATTTCATCAATCTCAAAGAGAAATGGATGATAATTTAAAATTTCTATCTATGAATGAGTTACGATTTATGATTTCTACAAGGAACACAAATGAAATTTTCGTTCATTGGCTCAACAGGAACAGGAGCTTCCTTGACTGGGTACTGGTGAAGTCTTCCACCATTTGGCTTCAGGTGAGTTCTCGATTCCTTTTGCTTTCAATCTGTTGTGCTTTTGTGCTCGGTTGGTTTAATGGCTGGCAATTATTTTCAATCGAAATTTGGATCTCCCCACATCAAAATTGTTATAGGAGCTTCTCTTATGAAAATGATGACTTCTTGAAATGTCTGGCTGGGAGATGCTTATTGCATGAGTTAATGAGCATCAAAGTTGTCCTACAAATAATGGTGGATTAGTGGGGTTGGTTTGCTGTTTTTCATTTTAATTTTCCGAAATGATTATAAGTATATTTTTAAAATTTATGGAATGCTTTAATGGAACCTTGGAGGCTGAAACTGATCTTTTGAATTCTTCAAGCAATTCCTTACTTGCAATTTGGCCTTCTGAACACATCTACTCCCTCTTTTTGATCCATTACCTCTCAACTAACTAGAAGCAAGGAACATTATCTTGCCACTATATCTCTATATCCCTCTCATACACCTCTTCATTACAAAAACGGAGGTGAGATTGATCAACCCATGATGGCTCCTGCCACCAACAACCACCATGAAGATGAGCCCACCCAGCACAGATTGGAGCAAGACATCCGAAAAACAATCTCCCACCTCACCCGTCACCTCACTGCTCTCCATAGCTCGGTTGATCATGACGTGCCATATAATCGCGATGGCGTCCGCATAATCACACTCACGGGAAATAATAATGGCGCGACGATGAAGATCGATGGAGCTGCGGTTGGACAAATGGTGGAGACACATGGAATGCTACTGGGGGATGAGAAGACTATGAGAGCTTATTCTAATAGTAATTACCAAGCGGTCAACAACTCTGTTTTGCTTGGTGGAAGCTACACGGCTGAAGATCCCGGCATTCATATAAACTTCCTGGATTTTCAAAAGGAGGAAGAGGAGGGGGGTGACAAGAAGGAAGATCAAAAGGGAATTGAAAATTTCCATCAGAGCAATTTGTCGGCAATGAATTGATTTGAGGAAACATATGTTGAGTTGATAGTGATCATTCAATTCTGATTTATAATCTCAACATAAGAATTATTTATTGATTTTAGCTCAAAATCAACTCTAGTTTACAATTGAAAACTCATGATTCAATTAGTTATCGATCTTGTTAGGAACGATGAACTAAACACAAAGAGAAATAATAAATCATGATCTGCAAAACACAATCGAACACAAGAGATTTATGTGGAAAACCTAAATATGAGAAAAATCACGGGGGAGGAGGGAGAATAGCTTCACTATAGAAAAAGGAGACGGAGTACAAACAACTTATAAACCCTAAGTCATTTATAACATATTTATAAGGCAAAATTAAAGCACCAGAAAAAACAAACTAAAATCCAAAATTACCCTTATAGCCAAAATCTGGGATACCCTCACAGGGGCGCTGCCCCTTGACCCGCGACTTGACCGGGCAGGTCAAATCTCGCCAAGGGGCGTTGCCCTATTGGACCCTTGACATATATGTGAAAGTATGACGGTCAAGGATATGAACAAACAAAGGTCGAGCCAAATTTGAGGCAACTCCAACAGATCTCTTATGCTTAGTTTAACCGATAAACATTGTTTTAATTCCACGAAATGTGACAAACTAAAACCTTATCTAGAGTCAGTCAGGTGTTCCTTAAATTAATTTCAAAAATATTTTCAAGTAATTTAATTTATAATAATTGAGTAAACTTTCTATAGTTTCGTCAACTGAGTCATTATAGCTCAGTGAATTTTGAGCAGCAAGAATTTATTCTTATATTCAAATTCTTATAACTGGCTAGCAAACAAAATTGATGCATCTGTCCCCAAAAACACTAAGAGCGATTTCATAGCGTACAATGAAATTTGGGTGCATCTTCTCTTGATTAGCTAAGCTCTGCTCATACTTTATAACATTCCTTCTACTAAAAGTAAGGCTCTTAATTCTAAGCCTAAAGAACCTAACACAGAGAGGAAATTATCATTAATTAAAGGTTTTATAATCAACTCTATTAACATATCATCTAGGGTTTTGATATTGGACTGAGAGATTCTCGATTTCTTGACTGCAATACACATCTTCTTCTACTCTTTGGGATGTCGAGACTTCAATAATTGATTCCTCATCTCTTATCTGTTTTGATGGCAGCTGATGTCCTCTTCCCCATAGATAAGCATAAAGTCCTCCAATAATCATAGTTATGCCTATTAGGCTGCAAAAAAGTTAAAAAAATTAGTCAAAAAAATCTTTATAGATTTAATTTTCAAGAAGAACAAAAAAATAAAATCTAAATACTTACCTTCCTACTGTGAAATCTCCAGTCATGAAAACAGCTTCTAAAATAGTGGTAAGTATTAGTGATAGAGCATTAAACATGGTTGCATACGAAGGACCTTTGCGAGGAACAACCCATGAAATCAAGCAGAATACAGCTCCAGTGTTCAGTGCTCCCTGCAAAAAATTAAAAATTTACTACATGATTCTATGATTCTTTTAATAAATCATTTAAAAATATTTAGAGGTTGATTTTTTTCAAAGTCATGTTTTCCCTTTTTTGTGTTGTGCTGTGGTATGTTATGTGGACTGTTGTTTGTGCTGCATTGGGTAAATTATTTGATAAATTAATGTCAAATTTGCTATAAAAATTATAATTATTGTTAAGGTGATAGTATCGCGCTAGTCCCTCGTTGGATAGAGAAATTATTCTGTGCGAATACTGGACGGTCCAGAGATTAATCAGAACGCAGCACATCACCCGGTACACAACGATATCGTGCACCAATACCAAGCAAAAAAGTGACATGGCACATTCTAGTTGGTCTCCGGAAGCCGTCCGATGTCCGCACAGAATAATTTCCCCATTGGATAGGTACTTAAAATATCAAGTAGTTTGCTCTTTCCTATAAAACTTAGTCCTTTGGTTGAAAATGAGCTTCTCTATAGTGTATTGAACCTAAGTAAAGTTCCATTTGATTTCTATACTTCGCTTTTTGACTCAACTTTTTTTCATATAATTAGTATATGAAAAGCCTTAAAAGTTTTTTATGTTAAAAAGACAGAATAGACAGCAACAAGTTATGCTAAATAGAGCATCTGTAAATTAAAACTTCTAACTCCACATAAAATAAATAAATAATAAAAAATTTGAAAAATAGAAAATAAAATATAAAAAAGCAAAAGAGGAAGAATTGAACACTTACAGAATACACTACGAGCAGCAACTCTAAATTCCATCTCAATATCCATTTGCTTCTGCTTGCGTTCAGAATCAAACCCAAAACAGCTGACTGAAGACTTGCAGCAACACACGTGTACATTGTTGCACAGTACTTGAAGGGATATCTTTGCAGTAATTTGGCCTGAATTTTTATTCATATCATAATTTAATCATTAGTAATTACATGTTTGCAATTTTTATAGATCAAATAACATTTTTTATAGTTCAAATATACCTAATAAAAAAAAAACACCATTTCATAAATAAAAAATTTACATTAGTTAATCCCTTGCTTATGGAAGAATGTTCTTAAAGTTCAATTATAATAAGGTTTTATTTGGGGAGAAATTATTCTATACGGAGGTAGAATGCTGTCCGGAAACCAATTAGAATGTGCCATGTCACTTTGTGCTCGATACTGCTGATGAGGCATATTTGGTTGGTCTTCGGAAGGCGTTCTGCGTCCGGTCTCCGCATAGAATAATTTTTCTCACTTGGGATACGTTGTTTACTACTTCGCATTACAACCTATATGACTATTCCTTTTAAAAAAAATTTGTGCTAAAAATTTACTTTATATAATAGCTTTCAGAAAAGTTGTTTTCCCATAACAGTTTTATAACAAAGTCCTTCATGAGATCCTGGTTGGGTAACTCAGACGAGCTTCGCCCACTCACACCCACCCATGGTGACTTCCGGGATTTCATACCCACTTATACCCACCAACTTTCCATAGTTTTTGAATGCAGTTTGCCACAGACTGATGGCCTTGAGGCTTGTTATCATTTGTTATTATGGCAAACTTTCAAGTCGCATATCAAAATTTATCGTACTCATATCATGGTTAAGTGTTGCCCAATACGTAGTGATGATTGCAGTAGTATAAGTAAGATATACAGTGATTAGCAATGTAAATCGATTTATCCCTCGATGTTTAGTACCCACCCATACGCACCCATAAGACTATGGGCGTACCCATACCCACTCATACCCATTTGGTATGGGTGGGTACATGGGTGGGTGTGGGTATGAGTATCCAATGCTTTCTGTTTTATAATCACCTCTTGAATGAGCTACAATCATCCTAAACCGATCCTAAATCATAGATCTAATTATCAGTTTAAAACACTAGATGCTATCATAATTTCAAGATTTTTCATAACATGGCTAACAGTAGAAATCAGTCATAAAATAAAGAAAAATAATTAGGAATTTACCTGAACTATAACCCAAGTGGAGAAGCACAGACAACTTGCAATCAAGAACAAAGTCCCACGAACTTTGTGATTGCTGGAAGCATCGAATCCCTTCTTAACAGTATTGGTTTCCCATTTTGGCGATGTTATATGAATGGTTGCTCCATTGTACATACTGATAACCATTGCTCCTCCTACGCACAATATAGTCCCCAGAATCTTTATTCTTCCTCCTCTACTATCAAACCCTAATCTTTCTAATCTGCACAGCAAAATCAAAATGTGTATATATCCGTTAGCGAAAAACGGTGATAAAAAAATAATAAAAAAAAATCAAAACTTGTATAGGATTCCCATCTGTTAATTATTTGTTCATGCAAAAACTTCAGATTAAGCATAAAAGAAAAGAACTTGCTTCACAATTGCTTGAATGTGATGAAGCAAAAGTTATTTAGGGTTTGTTTGGGACACCGGACGGAGAGGACCGTGCGATTTGCTGCGCTTTTAGAAGGGTAACAAATATTCAATTATGAATGTTTTTTACTGTCCTTTTACTGTGCTTTTGCAAAAGTGTTGCAAAAACGTAACAAATATTCAATTATTTAGTAACTATTAAATATTTGCTGCACTTTTGAAAAAGCACAGTAAAAGAACAGTCAAGCACAATAATCTGAACGGTTCTTTGAGTCCAATATCCGTATTGAATAATTAGTCTCCCAAACGAAACCTTATTTGTTTGCTAATGTCTGAGAAGCAGGTGTACCTTACAACTACTGCAAATAAAAATGTCAATACTGGCACTAAATTGAGGAAGCTAGCAGCGTAAGTAGCGTTGGTATCACAAAGGCCGTAGTAGTAAAACCCCATTGCGCCTGTAATTCTGCAAGGGAAATGATTAAATTTAGTTAGAAGTTCTGAACAAAAATATACTGTTAATTTACTACAATAAAGGTTTTGTTTGGAAAAGATTTACTACTGATTTCTAAACAGTTCTTTCAGAACAAAATTTTTATAAAAATAAAGTCAAAATAATGCCCAAAAACTGTCCCAAATAAAGCTTAAAAATTTCAGCGCTTACAGCTTTTGCATTGACACGAATTAGATTGTATTTTTGAAATTATAATAATATGATGATGCATTTAGCAGGGCATAAATTGTCATACATAAATATAATAAAAAGTTATAAGTCATCACGATTTGAACACAATGTTTCAATATGTCTAAGATCAGTTCAATATTATAATATAAACTAATTAATAATCATATAACCTGCACCCGACAACTATGACCCTTTGGCCCTGGAGCAGGTGGAAAGTTAGTAGCAGTTGTGTACACCTGTATAAGTTTTGTGAAATGTTTAGTTTAAAATTACACTAACTTATTTTTATCCATTGGTTGAGAATTTTAACTATTAATTAAAAGATTTTGAGTTCGAGTTTTAAGTATGTAATTTATTTGTAATTTTTTTTTTAATTTGTGTAAATGTCCTCCTATATATATATAATATTCGGACATAATTTTTTCTCAATTTTTTTTACCAAAATATTTCCATCTGGTTGAAATTTAGTTTTTTTTGCAATAAAATAGTATGAAATAAATCCTTAATTTGACATTACTTAATTTCTATTACTTAATTGCTATTAGATTTATTAAGGAAATTAATTTGAACACAAACTAACCTTATTTTGTTAATTCAAATGAGCAAAATATTTATTATAGAATTTATGTGATGATTGTTCGACACGTTTTATGCTAGTTATGAACTATCTAGCGTAACCTTCTACTTTTCATATTCAGGACTTGAGACCTGCAATGATAATGCTTACAAGTACAATATTTATAAAAATTAAAATACTTATAATATATCAATGCCCATAAACTACAGTTATTATTATTATTTTATTGTGATATATAGATTAAATTTTGATAATTTTTTACTAAATATTAATTGAATTTCTTTTTTCCACTGTCCTGTCCTCATAAAGAGTTATTTTATTTTTCAATGAAATTAAAAAAAAAGTACAACAAAGTAGCAAATTTTAACTTTAAGACATCACCATCTATCATAGCTATGTTTTTTTGTTTGGTTGCGTAAGGAGGATGCATCGGTGACTTGCAACGTAGTTAAAATTTTTGTTTTATTTTGTTTTTTAATATATCTCTTTATTTCATCATTTTTAATCTGAGAAGACTTTCTTCTCTCGTTTGACATATTAATAAGCTGATGTAAGATTAAAATTAAAAAAAAATAAAAATCTTATAAGGACAAAAGATAGTTTCTTAGACTTAAAATGTCCAGAAAAGAGTTGATTTCAGTGGGTAATTTGGTATGGATCCTATCTAGTTAGGTGGATAAAGTCCACTTATGTAATTATGCAATTTATTTTAGACGAAATTATAATTTTTTAAACTAATTTTATTTTAATGACTTTTTGATTGTTTCTTAAAACAATTTTTTAGTTCAAAATTTAAATTTTTATATTATAAATCTTTTTTAAGAAACAGTAAAAAAGTCGTCCCAAATGAAATCTAAGTTAAATTGTTTTGCCAAAATTGAATAACCACATGAGAACATCATAATTAAGTTTTAATTATGATGAATTTTAAAATCTTTTAAGAATAATTTTATTAAATATATTGATTTAATTTTTTTTTTCAAAAAAAAAAAAACTATTTGAATCTTTCCGTTTGGGGGCATATCTTCTTTCAATCACTAATTCAATCTGTGCCTTCATCTGATTAAACTAAGCTATTTTCCCCCCATTTTAAAGCAATATCTATTTGCAAGACAATGAAACCGACTATGATTGAATTGATGGATGTATTAAGTAAACTCTAATTATTAACATAACAATGTAATTAACGCAGTTCTAATCTCACCCCATTAGAGCGTTGAGGAAGATCCAAAAGACAACCATCCAATTTAATTCTTTCCACTTTCCTCTGATAGAATCATAAATTAACAAAATCAAATAATCAAGAGCTTAATGAAGCTCATGATGAAGATAAAATGCTATGAAACATAAAGAAAATCGAGATAGGAAGAGAAAGGGAGATATACCTTTCAATGTACAGAGCAAATGGTAAGACGAAGAGAGCTCCAACAATACAGCGGTAGGTGAGAATGGCGAAGACAGAGTGGCCTTTGTTGAGCACAGCCTTAGACAAGAGAAACATCCCTGTTGTGAGCACCTGAACCAAAATCATGCTCAAAGGATCCTTCAGGAGCTCTAATATTTGCTTCCCCTTCCTCTCTTCAGCACCAACTTCGCCTCCCATCTTCTTCTTCTTCTTCTTCTTCTTCTTCTTCTTCTTCTTCTTCTTCCTCTTCTTTTTTTTCGTCTCCTTCAATTAGAATATGAAGAAAGATGCTTCGCAGTGGAATTTAAATGGAATAGAAAAGGCCAGCAAATAACATGGTGAATATAGTATTACTGTGGGACGCATATAAAGTTTAGATATGCAATTGGTAGCCAAAAATATCATCATTCCATGGTGGATCACACGTATAAGTTATCTGACTCATTAATATTGATAACCTGTTTTATTACCATAGTGATTGTGAACTGGTAAGTTTAACTAAGATGCATGGCAATGATGTGGTTAGGTTTTGCACGTCATCTGGACTTTCGAGGCCTGTTGGCAATCATTGGTGGTGCTGTAAATTTATCTCAGTTGATGCTTCGTGGATTTTGGTGTCTTCCGCCTGGACGGCCCTTGCCTGGCATCTGGGTGGTTGCAATTTCTTTGTCAATTGCTTAGTTCGGTGGCTTCTTTGTCAACTCTTTTGCTTCGCGGTGTATCGGTCTTTTTATTAGATGCTGGTTGTATCCTCCTTTTTATTTATTGGAATAAAATTATTAAAAAAAAATTAACTATGATGCATCAATTCATACATGAATATAGATATAGTTGTTCAATTAAAAATATTTTGTGAATCACATTCAATTAGGCTCAGAATATTAAGTGAAAAAGAGAAAAAAGAAAGTAGAGAGAAAAAAAGAAAAGAGTTCTAGTGTAAAAAAAGATTATGATATATATAAAATATTATAAACCGAGCTCACACTGCCACCCCATATTTATAGACTTTTGGTCAGGCCTAGCTTAAGCGTACAAAATTGACTATATAGGTGAGTGTGAAAAATAAAAATATATAAAAATTGTATAGCCTATTTTGAGAATCCAATTTACTGAAGTGTGAGCTCAAATCTTTCCTTTAGCAATTAATATCGGCTAGCCCAAAATTGTCTTTAAAAAAAAAAAAAAAAAACTTGACTTACAAGTGAGAGATTGTCACTCCTTGTTCAACGGCTTCCTTATTCAACTTTCTTCCTCTTTTTATTATCTTTGTGCTCTCCAATCCCTTGAAAATAGAGATTCAAAGGAAAAGATCAATATCTCAAAAGAGCATCTTATCACTAGCCTAATCAACGAAGGATTATTCTGTGCGATCGATGCCCGGACGCATCCGGAGATGAATCCAAATGCGTCACATCACCGGGGGTCCAGTGCATCAGGTGATGTAGCACGTCCGAATTCGCCTCCAAATGTGTTTGGGCGCTGCACAGAATAATCTCTCCTAATCAACAAATAATGAAAAGAAAGAACTCCTGATGAAAAGAAGAAAAATAAGACAGTAAATATTGAATAAACGAAAAACTAAAAGCAAGATATAATAACTTATTGTTCCATTTAAGTCTCTGGCCAACCAGTATTTTTCTTCCCTTATTGTTCCAGAGAAGGTAAGAATTGAAAAAATTTCAAGGAAAAATAAAATTTAATGAATTGTACTATTTTATTAATGCCATGCAACTTTAATGCAAATAGTTTCATATAAGTGAGTTCTTAGGTGAGATGCATAATATTGAACCTCGCACTCGTCAAAAACTTTGTGGTGAGAGAGTTAAAATCGACTAAAAGCTTTGTCTAGAATGGCTTTTTTATTGCTTCTTAAAACGAAGTTTTAGTAAAAAAAATAATTTTTATATTAAAATTTTGTTTTAAGAAGTACTAAAAAAGCCGTCCCAAACGAAGCCTAAGTGATGGTTCTATCTGAGACTAATATATCTCAGTTATCTATGATGGTTGAGATTGTTGAAGACTTTAGCCTTTTGCTGTAGTAATTGGGACTCAAGTAATATAACCGCTTACTAAAATAGTAATAGCTAAAGTCGTTAAAGCGTCTATTAAAGAACAAATTGTTGATGGGTCGAATATTGAAGTTGGCCAAAGGAAAATTGTAAGTATGATTTCTTCACCTCAAATTTGGGTAAAATTTTACTTAATTCTTATTGAAAAATCTTCTTTAAACTTTCTTTGAATAAAATCATTCTTCTTCCAACCTCCTATATTGCTGAGTTAGCTGTAGAGAAGGATCCAAAGACACCCCTTCAGAGTGTATTCCCAAAATATTCATGGTGCAACTTTCGCTACTCCAAAGGAATTAATTAAAGCAATACTTTTTAAGATAATTAAAGAATTGTCCACTAAAGGTAGTTAATTGAAATCATTTATTGGTTAAGACGAGTATGAATTGAACTTTACCAAATAAATTAAACTACCCAATTAAAGATATCACTTGTCAACTCTATTGAGGATTCTCACCAAGAAGTTATTGCAATGAAGATTGAAGCTACCATTGGCCAAAGATTTTTTTTTTTTTTTTTACCATTGGCCAAAGATATTGTTAGATATTGGTCATAGATTTAGGTTTGTAGCTTGTTGTGTAGCATTTATTTCTATAAATAGAGGCTCTATAGGTTGTAATAGTATGATTTAGAAATACAAATTTCGTTTCCTGCGCTCTCCCTCTCCCTTCTCTCTCTTCCTCCTCCTCTCTCAAGATCAAGAAGAGGAAGTGCTTCTTCCTCTCAAGCAAGATCTCACTTATGGTATCAGAGCCTGGTAGAGGCAACCAAGGTTGTGGTGGAGGCAGGTTGTCCGCGTGTGAGAGGCGAACCACAACAAATTCAAGATTATTGTTCTTGGTTAAAGATTGGTTTGGATCTTTGAGGTGGAGTCTGGCTGTTCTAGAGGAGCAGTGTCGGGAGTGGCGCTCGGGATGATAGTTTGCGTGCGGTGCACGAGGAAGTTGCACGGGAGCACGGAGGACACGCAGGGCACTGGCCGGCCAGACCCGACAGTGTAAGGCATGGGATTGTGACGAGCATGACATAGGTGAATGACGCAGGGCTCGGTGCCCGGATGAATACGCGCAGGATGTGGTCGGAGTCAGACCGCATGAGTGCAAGGCGCAGGAGCGGAGCTGGAGGCTCATGGCATAGGCACAAAGCTCAGGGTGTTAGTGGATGCATAAGGGCGTGCAAGTGAGGCACACAGGGTGCTCAGAAATTGAATGCGTGGACGCAGTGCGATAGGAGAAGATCTGTCGGGAGGTCGAGTTAGAGATTGTGAAGCAGGAAACTCAAGAAGATGGTGGAGCAATTCACGAGGTGTTGTAAACCGTCCGGTGGACGCATTTGGCAGGGGAAACCGGCCTGACTATTCTTTGTGGACAACAAATATCTTTTGTTGTGTAAATCTAGGACCAAGATGAAAATTGTTAGATATTGGTCCTAGATATAGGTTTGTAGCTTGTTGTGTAGCCTTTATGTCTATAAATAAAAGCTCTATTTGTTGTAATAGTATGATTTAGAAATACAAATTTCGTTCCTGCTCTCTCCCTCTCCCTTCCCTCTCTCTCCTCTCTCAATATCGAGAAGAAGAAGTGCTTCTTCCTCTCAAGCAAGATCTCACAGATATATTGAATTTATAAAATTAAATTAATTCATGGCTAGAGGTGAGTTCAACTTGAAGTGATTTATTGATAGTATAAAAATCTTTGGAGAAGTTACCACTGATCATTACGCTTAATTTTTCTTCAATTCTTTTTAATCTTTTGCCGGGCTAACTACAACCTTTACATTTCCAACTATAATGCAATCCTAAGCTTTCTCCTTCCTTATTCATCCTTCGCAATTTCTTATTTTTATCACAGCATCCATGCTTTTAAGATAAATAATGAAGCATTCCTAATTCGTTCTTCTTCTTCTCCGACCAAGCAATCGAAGGCAATTGTGTACTTCATTCAATGATGTACATATTTAACAACACCTTCTAGATTCATGTTGTGAGTTTGGGCAAGTACCCTAACCTTATTCTAAAGAATGGGCTATGTTGTTATAAATATTAGTTTAGACTCCATTTGTGTCTCCCACTATGCCAAGAATTGGATGACATAACAAATTTCTATGGAGTGAAACAAGCCGAATTCATGTCAAATAACTTGCAAACATCATGATTCTTGTAAGCTATATGAGAAAGAAGACAATACCACAACGGATATCGCTTTTCTACCATCTCTTTATTGCAATCCAGGAGCCTTATATTGTGTTTTGATGATTACAAATATTATTGGATGTTTATTTTACTCATTCCTACTTTATATATTGCATAAAATTTTTTTGCATCACTAACTTTTCACGTGCAATTTAAAAATCAAAGAATCGATACTTAAGACAGTGTGCGCCAATTCATGTTTGAAAGAGTCTGTATTTTTTATTTTTCTTGACTTATTTTTTGTATTAGGTGTACGTTGGTTTATTAATCATGCACATACACATAAGAGGGATTAAAATTGAATATTTTAAATTTTTTGTTAATTGTACTGTATGATCAATATCATACTGTGTGATATATTCATAAAAATTAATTAAAATATTTACTAAATAAGATTAATGAAAATTGGAGTGTAACTAATTGTAATGTAGGATCCAAACATTATACAAGACGATCAGCTAATTTGGGAAACCCCATCGTCGAATCCTAGTTACTTAAAATATATAAATTTGAAATTTAAAACTGATTGCACTATACTAATCAATTCGTACTATATGAACATTAATTAAAATTACCTAATTTAATTATGATGATTAAGAAATTGAATCTTATAAAATTAACATTAATGATCGTACTATATTATTATAAATCATACTGGATGACCCACTCGAGAGCTCACTAGACAAACCTTAGTTTGTCCTAGATGATCTGTGATTCGATTGAACTAATCGTACTCTATGATCAAAAGACTTAAAATTAAAAAATTAGAGTTATCCTTCTCCTTCCTCCCCTCGAATTTGACAACATCTCTGACTGAGATGAGGATAAAAATTTGACAATTTCTCTAAGTGAGATGATGAATAAAAATTGAATTTCAAACTCCAACCCCTCGCTTTTTTCCTACTCCTTCCTCCCCTCTTCCTTCTCCGGCAAGCCACTAGGAAAATGGGGTTCAAGTTAGTGACTTCAGATATTTATTATTTTAAAAA